GTATTTGCTCAACTTATAACATCCAAGTGAAACATAACACCATGTCAGAAGAAAAAAACAAATATTCAAAAACAGAATCACTGTTGGAAAAAGGATCTCCCCTTTGTCAGTATTTTGTTGAACCACCTTTTGCTATAAAATTACATGTCTCTAGACTTTGCAATATTTGCCCACTCTTCATTGCAGAACTGCTCACATTCAGTTCAATTTGACGGTGACTGTTTGTGGACTGCAGTCTTCAAGTCATTCCACAGATTTTCAATGGGGTTTAAATCTGGGCTCTGACTAGGCCATGCAAGGACATTCACCTTTTTCTCCTTCATTTGGTCATTTTTGCTGTGTGCTTTGTCATGTTGGAAGGTAAACCTTCTTCCCAAGCAACAAAATGTGATTATTTTAAAAGGGGGTGTTTCTTTTCCATACCAAGTGTATGGCGAAACACTATCTATCGTAGGCAGGAGTTTGGCGGCGCAACCTACAACACACTAGCACAAGTGTAAATTGCTCCATTCCCAAACCCGAGCAAGAATTTGAAAAGGTATTAATAAACACTTCTCTTTTTTTTTTTCACTTAGAGCAGAACTACACCCTCCTATCCTTTACAGCCAAGGATGGTGCCATTTTGTTTCATCTTGCAGTTGCCATGGTACTGCACATGGGATCAGCTATGACACTAGCTAGCCCAAAGATTATTTTCTGTCTTAATAGGGAAATTGACCTTGTATCCAGATGAGAAGAATGTTGTATATTAAAAAAAGATAAGGCTCCCAATGAGCAATAGGTCTTCCAGAGTTTTAAAACTTTATTTAAAGCAGAACTCCAGGCTCAAATTGTATTAACCCTTGCAGTGGAGCTACCCCCACACTGCAAGAGTTAACTGCTCATTTTTGTTTAAGTAAAAAAGTTATACTCACCCAATCCCCAGAGCCAGCCAGCTGTCACAGTGCTCCCTCCTCCTACACTGCAGTGATGGTATATTATGGTACAGTGTGTATAGAATGTGATGACTCACAGCACCTTAGACCGATCCATTTAACTTTATTGTTATCACATGTTAAGAATTCTCCTATGTGATAACAAATTACAGTTACAGGTCCCCTTTATGGAGATATCAGGGGTCTCCAAGACCCCTAATGTCACCTAGGGACCCCCAAAGAAGCTGTTGAAGCACAGATCTGCTTCACCAGCTTCTCTCCGGTTTCTGACAGAGGAATGCGGAAGTGATGTAATATACATCACTTCCTGCATTCGGAGAGCGGAGGGAGATCGGGTGCTGTTCTCTCTCCGTTCTCAGTGCAGAGCCACATCGCCCGGGATGGATGGACGCTCGGCGGTGGCGAGGACAAGAGGAAAGGGGGGACGCACCCACACTTGCATCATACAAGCGATCGGGTGTCTTTACAGACGCCGGACCGCTTGTATGTAAACTGCCATCGCTAGCTGTTTAAAATCCTGGTTGTTTCCCGCTCGTGCGTACCAGGGGGCGAGCGGGCACAAAGGACGTCTAAAGACGCCCACCCGCATCCAGGAGACTCCCGTCCGGCCGTCTTTCAACGTTCAGCGGACGGGAGGTGGTTAAACAACAGTTGTTAATGGTGATATGGATTATTAAAAGCTATGAGGACAGATTGTTAATGTTTCAGCTTTAAAATTTTGGACAAGCAGTTGGCCATCAGTTTGGTTATGTGTGACAAACGTGCAGGTCAGCTTGATCAATGGGTTTTATTGATTCTTTTGTTGCTCAACGTGCTATTGGAGGCAGCCTACTTTATGAGTACATGTAACAATCAGGAGACTGAAAACAGAGGAATGCAGCACACTACTTGACCTTGTGATTCAAAAGATTTCCCATACCTTTCATTAACCTCAACTTCACTCCTGGATTTACTACACAAGGCAATAAAAAAAAATATTAAAGAAAACAAATGTGCTGATTTGCCGTCTCCTCTAGGTATAGGTAAGCTGCAATTTATTAATTTTTTACTTTTGGTTTTAGATGCATTTTAAATTTGTGTGCCAGTCCCCAAACACTTATATAATGGGTTCCAAGCAGTAAAATTCATGGGTTAAGATATGAATGTTTAATAGCAGTAGATACATAAATTAGATTACACAAATTGCATAACAGTACAATTTTGAGCAACTTGATTTATACAATAAAACCAATTACATTTTAGGTTATTAAATTATAGACAACTGGCACTTTAATTTGAAAACACATGTATCAACACATATTGGTGGAATTAATAAAAAACTGAAGCAGACAGAATCTGGAGCAGTTGACTATGAAAACCAATCAGCTTCTCCTTCCAGTTTGTTCAGTTAAGCCCTGAAAATAAAACAAAGAAGATTGGTTGCCATGAGCAACTGCTCCAGATTCTGTCTGCTCCAGTTTTTAATTCCCCTGTTGTCGCAGGTTACATTTAGCTTCCCCACCGTAATTACTTAGCTTTCTACACTTTAAAAGGCATACAGTTAAAACAAAAAACAGTAAGGCAATAAAAATAAACAGTTATAGCTGAACACATCAGATATTAAAGATGCAAAATCAAAGCAGCTCTCTATTCATAATACAGCTTTACATTTATTTTTTTATGCAAATAGTACAAATACCTGAATTTGACTTGGCATTACCCTCTTACAGCAGTTTGGGGGAGGGAGAAGCAGCACAGAAAGCCAATCAGAAATGCTTTAGTGGAAAGAGCATGCCAATAGGAGCGGAGAGCAGAGTAGTAGAGAGATGAGCCCATCTTGTTTCTCCTTTTACTGTACAGTCACAAGACAGGAGAAGGACAAAAACCTGCATTTGTTACTTAACTGCAACAGCAAGAATTAGGTATCCCCCCTTACCAGACATGGCTGTGCAATCTCAGAATTGGACAGAGATACAAATCCTTTGACAGGTAACACAACTTCCTTATATGTCTTTATATTAAGCGGTTTGTCTGGAGTTCAGCTTTAGGTAAAAATCTATATGCAAGAGACAAGCTTTTAAAATTCAGAAATAGCCAATACAGTAAAGCAGTTTCTAAAACCTGTCCTCAAATCCCGCCAATAGTACAGACTTATGCTTTTCTGTGTTCATACAGTAAATCACATATTTCTTGATATTGCAGTAATGGGTTCTAACCTACCATATTCATATTGCTCTCTGTGCCCCCAAAGGGAGAGCCACTCGCCCCGTTTGCCTTAGTAACTATTATCACTGAAACGGAGTAAAAATCCAAAACTAGAGTCACAAGGAGGGGGTAAACCATCTGTTCTGGTGACAAAAGGAGGGCACCAAAAAGGTGCGAGTTTAGATATACTTTAAAATTTGTTATTGTGAATTTGTACACACTAAAATTTGTGGTTTGTTTTCAACTCACATTAAGCTGCATTTTTCTTGCCGGTTTGTAAAAGGTTGCAATTATATTAAAATAAAAAGGCACCACGATCTTATGGATGTTATAGTACGTTACCACTTCAGTCCTTTACTGTCCTAATAATTCAACCTGACTGGCAGTTATGCAGACCTTGCGGTGTCAAAACTTTAAAGGCACGGACCTGGTACAAGTATGCAGATCAGGAACATCAAATAAGCATGAGAAGCACTCATCTGCAGGCTTGTTCCAGGTCACAGCCCTAAAGCAAAACGACACCTCCTTATCCTTCACAGCCAAAGAAAGTGACATTTCAGCCTCTATTTGGATTGCAGTTGCCATGATGCTGCATGTGTGAGCTATGACAGCCATTTAGGGCCTTGAAAGGCCAGTTGAGAACTGAAAAAAGCAACCTTGACAGTTATTACCAATAACTGTTTTGGGAGACCATTATATTGGATCTTGTTCCACTTGAAAAGATGCCTAACAGCAGCCCCCACTGTGCAAATTTCAGCCGATTCCCCAAGAACCGGACGAAATTAGCACAGTGGGTGCTGCTGTCAGTACCCTTTCGGCTGGCATCCCTTGATTAGCTGATCAAAGGAGCCGTACGGAAAATCTTTGCACAACCAGAGTTGGCAGCCAATGAGCTGCTGGCTCTGTCCGGGTAATCCGACAGTGGCTGACAGCCATACGCACTCGTAGTGTTGATGGAGGTATATCCTCTATTTATTTATTTTTTCGTTCAGCCTGCAGGTTGAATGAGAAAATTAGAGCAGTGTATGGCCAGCCTCAGGTACTGAAGTAAGAGGCTGAGCAGAACAGCCAAGCAACTAGCTGTTAGCAATGCAAAAAAACAAACAATATGCTGCCTTTTTACGTTTCTAGTTTCATGCCTGTCATACTCATTCCTATGGTCTACTACTAAAAGAGTCACTGACCTTGAACAAACATGCATCTACTCTTAAACTGCATGTTCACGCTGGGCCTGTGTCTCACTAACTAGTGATGCCACAGGATGATCATTTTTTTTTTTTTTATCTCCTTCATGACAGCTGTAAACTGCTATACATTTACTAGAAGTAATCTGGCACATGCATTTCACAGAAATACAGTATAAGTGGGTAGTTCTTATTACCATATTTGCCGTCCGTCCGTTTTTCTACTACGGGCGGACGGCAACTGGTTAAACAGCATGCTTAATGCTGGTCAATGTTTAAACAAGCATACCTAAACACAACAAGAATTGCCCAACTGAGTTTGCATTTGACAATACCTTCTTCTGACACGAGTGCCTTCTTACAAACCAATATCAACTACCACACTATAGCATTCTAGAACATTAGGAAAGGCAATGTTTATCTGTGTATGATTGCATTATACAGAAATAGGACTGTATAATTGTAACAAACATAAAAGGACTTGCATAAAGACCGTCCGCTGAGCATATAAATCACCTGTCACATAACACAGTTTAATTTGTTTTCATGTAAACTTTGACTTTAGCAAAGTGTTTTCTTCGTTCCTCTTACATGTTTCCTTGTTACTTCAGATATTATTGACAATGTATACCATTACATATGTTTTTCCTAAAGCCCAGAGTAGAAATTCACTAAATAATGCAAGAATTAGTAAAAGCAGGGACATTTTCTTTGCTCCTCGTTGACGCTCCTCTCTGTCCTGTTTATATATGAAGGCTGTGGTGGACAATGAAAACTGTATCCGGAGTACTACCTGCGACTCTGCACGGTGTTCAGCTGGTGCTTCAAGTTGATGGCTTGCTTCAGTAGACCCTCAACGCTCTTAAAGTGCACGCTGCTGAAGGTCATACTTTTTACAGCACTGCGGCAAAATAAAATATTTAATAGTAGGTAAGAAGCATGAAATGAGGCACCATTTATATCATCAGCCTAATGATTTAAAAAAATGATTTACCTTTCTGCAGAGAAACCCTACAGGTCACTCAAATACGTAAATGACATTAGCTACAGAAAATTGTGATAGATGGTGTGATATAAAGCTGCTGTAAGCCAGGTTTACACAACTGGTCTGAATAAGGCACTTTCGGATGCCTGGCCTGCCACAGAGTTTATCTTTATGCCACTCCCAACTCCTTGTACAATCCTGCTAATGTGCCAGTTTGAGGATGTTTCTAAACACCAAGTATAATGGCCAGCTGACTGAGTCCCATCACCAGCATTCTGCAGCATGCCCTACAGCAGGCGTAGGCAAACTCTGGCCTGTGGCTGCCAAAATCGTGCAATGCCACATGGGATTTGTAGTTCTACAACAGCTGGAGGGCCGAGAGTTTGCCCACCCCTGCCCTATAGTGATATCCATACTCAGCATTTTGGCTTAGTGACTATTGTGTGCGCGCGCGTGTGTGAGAGAGACTCTCGCAAAGTAACAATGAGGCAGCAGCTACAAAGCCAGTAACCAACCCTACAATAAACAATTTTATGAAATGCTTATAAAGTTGCCGTCACATTGAAAATATACTGGCCATTTATAGTCCATCTAGATTTCAAAATAAATATAATTTTCCGGCAATATAGATTCGGATTATTAACACCGATTTATTTTGCCCCAGTTTATTTGACAGAAGGATCATAGACCACTATCTTACTTTTAGAAGATAAGTAACCATCAACCATGAATGTCATGTCCAGAAATGAACACATCCCAGGACCCAGCTAGCCAATGTATAATCTGGGGTCATCTGTCAAAAAGCCTGTTTCTTGACATATTCAAAGTGCCTGCGGGCTCTCAGACTAGACCGATGGGCTCAGGAATTCTGCATGGATTGTTTCACCCTCTATTATTCTGTACGTTTTTTAGGATGATAAATTAACAGCTGTACCTGCAAGCATACTCCACTGTGTAAATGGATCCTTGGCTCTGTTCTTCCCAGTTCTGCATATCAGCCTGTAATATATCAAGAATTGTTTTGTTAAAATAGGGGGAACGTGAACTTCTCCCATATAGCAAATGAAACTAGACTAATGAAATCAAATGAAAAAGGCCTAAATTCAGCAGCACCTCAGACTTGCTTCTATGCCCACCTTGGTAGCTCAGCATTAGCATACATACAATCCTCTCTCAATGTATCAAATGTAAATATCAGAAAAGGTTACCCATGTTGGAAGACAAAAATGTGGCTTTGATCACATTACCAGGGGAGAAATTAATAGGACTTTGACTTGCAATAAAAATATAAAAAGTAGTATTAAATGCTCCATTTCTTTGTTAAATATTCAGGTTACATGGAATACATTACCAATCCCCAGTACAGTGATACCTTGGTTTACAAGTAACTTGGTTTGAGAGTGTTTTGCAAGACAAGCAAACATTTATGAAAAAGTTTGCCTTGATATACAAGCAATGTCTTGCAATAAGAGCAAAATTTTGTAGAAAAGCGCCACCGAATAAGGCTGTAGCAGTGCGAGCGATGAGTCTGTTTAACGACAATGCAAGGTCACATTGAATAGATTCCTTGTTAAGGTTTCACGAAATGAAAAAGATTCCATTGAGTCAAGGGATAGCAGTGATTCCGTTAGTGATAGTGAAAGTCGTCCTACACAATAATCCTCCTCTCTCTTGTCCCCCTCACACCAGCCACGAAGGTACCGGTAATTGGCTTATTTTTCTTTATATTTTGTACAGTATTGTATTATATTACAGTATTGTAATCATTTTTATATGAATATTTTTGGGTTGTGGAACGAATCATCTAAATTTCCATTATTCCCTATGGGGAAATTCGCTTCGATATACAAGCGCTTTGGATTACAAGCATGCTTCCAGAACGAATTATGCTCGTAAACCAAGGTATTACTGTACAAAAGTATTTGGGCAAAAATGTACAAAAAAAAACAACACACCGCTTCCCCAAACAACTGGGTAGGAGAGCATGCGTTGTATAGTAAACATGCAGTTGCTAAAAAAGGACTGTGCAGGGGCGGGGAGTGGTTTGCCATGCAGCTGAAACTATGCATGAGAGTCATCTGTATGTGCTAGCTGGCAGTACGCACGCAAAGGTGCCTCCATGGGACTCCTCCAGGGGACAGAGCCAACCGTGAACAGGGGCAAGGGAAGAAAACTTGAAGCTTATGAACACAATTCAACCACAGGCTTAAAACGAAAACCACACAGCAAAGATGGTAGGTCATGAGGTCTGCAGAACTATATGGTTTTTACTTCTGTGGGTTTCATAACACTTTAAAGTTTAAATCTAAAAAATAAATTCAAGTACCTTAACTATTAACAAAAATGTATCTTATTTGTGTATCACTCAGCAGTAGATCCTCAAATCATCTCTGAATTTGTGCCTACACTGTCCTTCCTTCTGAGGGGGATACTTTTGTTCCCCATGGTCCCTGTGTGGGTTGTAAATACGGCTGAAAACAACTAAATTGATTAATCGATAATAAATTGATGAGAATAGTTGTTAAATATTCTCATCGATTAGTTGGTTGGATCCACTAGCTCTCTTCTCCATGCTGGAAAGAGCACAGCAAGCAGCGGGTGGGTGCAAAACAAAGCCTGCTATTGCAATTTAAAATGGCCAATAGCAGGCTGGTTATTGCACCAGCCCACTAGAGCTGCAGCTAACGATTATTTTCAAAATCGATTAGCCAAATTAAGTTTAATCGGTTAAAAAAAAAAAAAAAAATTTTTAAATGGCTCCAGTGAAGGGACTACTAGTTTGTATTGAGATTGTAGTCCATCACAGGAGCAAGCTTGGAGCGGTGGAAGTAAAAAAGAAAGTGTGGTGTACAATATAGTGAAATGGAAAGTGTAAAATTATAAAGCAATGAATGCAGAACGGCACCGACTATAGAGGACTACAAATCCCAGCAATAGTACATTATACAGCGCAATGCAGACTACCACCAGCTATAGAAGAATACAACAAATCCCAGCAATAGTACATTATAGCTGGTGGTATTCTGCATTGCGCTGCATAATGTACTATTGCTGGGTTTTGTAGTCCTCTATAGCCGTTGGTATTCGGCATTGCGCTGTATACACTATTATTGCTGGTATTTGTTGTATTCCTCTATAGCTGGTGGTATTCCGCATTTCGCTGTATAATGTACTATTGCTGGGTTTTGTAGTCCTCTATACAGCGCAATGCAGAATACCAGCAACTTGCTTCTGAGATCGGGCCTGTCTATCAGCGGCTGTCATCCCCCCACACCTGCTACTCCTTACCTTCTCCCCACGTCCCTGTTCCGATCGTGGATGTGGGCAGGCGGTGAGCGTGTGGATGCGGGCGGGTCTGGCAGCAGCGAGTGTGAGGTGGGGAGGGGGTGCGGTGCGCAGCGTGTGTGAAGCCATGAACAGGGCCAACTAATGGGAAGCCGATTAATCGATGATTGAAAAAGTTGACAACTTTTTCCATAATCGATTTAGTCGATTGTTGTTGCAGCCCTACAACCCACTACCTGCTGTATTTACATTCAGCTGCCATCTACGGAGTCTTGCCACTGGCAGTTGTCATTCCCGGGCTGAAGCTATTCAAGCGCCGTGTGCTTACAATACAATTATTAAAAACAACAAAAATAAATAATTATAAAAAGGTGGGGGGAAAAAATCATTTTTAGTTTCAGCTTGACAAATTGTGCTGCGGGAGGTATGTTGCAGTGCCATCCATTTCAATGGCACCCCAAATGCTCTTCCCACCTACAGTGTGAGTAAACTAAATGTGAGATTGTAGTCCATCACAGTAGTGAGCTTGGTGCGGTGGCTACTTTAGAAGAACAGTGTCATCACTGTGTATCTTATTTGTGTAATAGTTAAAGTCCTTGAATGCATTTTTAAGATTTCACTCCCGAGTTTAGTGTCACTTAAGGAGAACTATGGGGTCAGTGTTTTTCCCCATAGTTCTCCTTAGGGTAACGGGAGGACACAAACTAGCTTCCTCCCGAACCCTAAGCTCAGTACACCGCGAGCTACAGCGCGCGTTATACTGAGACGCCGCAGCGGATATACAGGTCGGCTTAGAACTATGAGGTGAGTGGAAATCACTCATCTCATAGTTCTCCTTTAAAGGATGTCAGAGAAAAAGACAAACTAGTTCACTTCAAGCACAGGTGGTCAATTTGAATGTATTTTATAATAAAAAGGTTTTCACATTTGGATATGGTTATCAAACACAGGATATTAGTAATTACATCAACAGGTTGAAAGAAGCATCTTTTCATCGAGTTCAACCATTAGCAAAAAAAACATTTAAACACAGAAATACACCAAAAATAACTAACTAAAGAAAAGACCTCTTCCGAACACTCTCTGAGTGTTGCAGTTTCCCTGCTGCTTCATGTTCTTTCAACATTCCTAATGGCCAGTGAGGCATGGTATTATAGTGATTGGCTAGTATGAGGTAGTGGTAAACTCGAACACCACATGGAAGCAGTGGAGCCTGTAAGAGTGGCCGGGGATGCTCTCATAACAGAAGGGTATTAGTTGCTGCAACCACAAATACAGGCAATTACACCTGTGTGCATAAGCGCTTATATGTAAATGATGGATTAGGGATTCCTGCTTCAGGAACTTACAGGTGTAAATGGGGCCTTACTGTAGGTGTATTTCTGTGTGTGAGTAAATGTGTGAATCTGTTGGTCCTGTATTATTCAAATTAAAACCTGTGGGGAAAAAAAAAAAGAAACCCCGCCCCCCACACACATATACTCATGTATACATACCAACATCACTCTCAGAAATCTTGACAATACACACACACACACACAAACCATCACAAAAAAAATACTGACAATGATATACCAAGAAACCATCACAAACACGGACATTAGAAACGCACGCAGACTAATACTGGTATTGTATAAAGTTAAATTTTATTTTGAAGTATGAAATTTGACAAGTGGCCCTCATGGGAGAAGAAAATTTGTCCAGCGGCCCCCGAGTGAATTGAGTTTGAGACCCCTGCTCTAAAGTGTACATCTAAAATACTGCACAGAATGAACTGCATATAACCAAACTGCTAAGACAATATGAAAGTTTAAATCTTTCTGACTTCAGGGCTCTCTGAACACATATACGAATACAAAAGCTATAGGAAAAGCACTCTCACCTTGTGCTGGGCCAGCTCCGGTAATGACCTTCGTACATGTTCCTGCAGGCGATACAAAGCCACTGAAGGCTCATTGGCGAGGACATACATACTCTCAGTAAACTTATCTGTGACTGAAAAAACAAAACAAAAGAGCATAATGTGACTTCTGAGGAAAAGAAATGAAATGTTCCATTACTAAGTGGAAACCCTTTTTTCCATGTATCATGTTTTTTTTTTTAACACATACACACACACTAATCTTTAGAGAAAAACATGTTTATTTTATTACATACATTTATGCCCATTAGCCTAAATTAGGAGCCAGCAGGTACATTTAAATCAGCCGTCTAGAAACTGTCTGTACTGACACTAGTAGAGGAGGCTCAGAAATGTTAAAGCTGAACTCTAGACAGACATAAAAGACACAAATTAATGCAGCTGTGTATTTATTAACACATCATGAAATGTATTTTTGAAATTTAAAAGTATGTGAGATTTGTCTTGGTTTCAGTCTCTTGTAGGGATGCACTGATACCGGTTTTTCGGTATCAGTGCCAATATTTATGTTTCGGAACTCGCCGATACCGAGTGTCCCATTAAGGTATCCAGGCGGCGTGTAAGGACTCGGCACCTGGCTTCCTGATTAGCATGGAAGCCGTCTCTATGCTTCCTCGTCACTAAGTGGTCGAAGCTGGCCATTACACGGCTCCCGGGTTCCCGACTGGCTGGTAAGCCGGCTCCATGGGAGCATGAAGCCGGCTTTCTGGCCAATTAGAAAGCCGGGAAATTACTCAACGTCCAGCTTCCCGACCAATCAGGAAGCTAGGCGGTTCGTCATTACACTTGGCCCGGTTTCCTGATTGGCTGGGGAGACGGCTCCATGCTCTCTCATAACCTAGTCACGAGGTAGCATGGAGCCGGCTGCCCGGTCAATCAGGAAGCCGGGCAGCGTGTAATGACTCGCTGCACGGCTTCCTGATGACAGAAGCTCAGGTATCGGGCTACGCATTGGAGCCTTTTGGCAAGTACGAGTCCAAATACGGTACGGCTTCAATAATGGTATCGGTGCATTCCTAGTCTTGTGCAGTCCGTGTACGACAGAGCAAAGACAATCAGTTGTGCTGCAGTGCAAGCAGCACACTGATAGGAGGAAAGAGCATAGAGCCAGAAAGATTAACTCATTAGTCTACTGCATCTCCTTTCACTGTCTGTGCACCCGAGGGCATCAACCAGTGACTCATCCCTCCTGGCCGGCAACTGAATGGGGCTAGGGTTGCATAACTGGTTGATAGGATATTAGCGGCCATGTGTTCTAGCAACTAATAAGCAGAAAGCTGTCACATTCATGAGAGCTTCCAGCACATACATGACTTTGAGCACTAGGGTCTCTCTGTATACCAGATCAGAGTTAGTCTTAATGACCGCTATTATTCTAATGTGTAAACTGGTAATTGTATATATTTTTTTTTAATCTGTCGCATCCATATAGTGACAGATTCTTAAAATGGTGCTATAAAGAACTAACTAGACCTGTCGAAAGTGATGGTAAAGCTGGCTGTTGGCAAAACGAAACTGGTGGCGGGTCCTTTTTTCAATTTGGCACAAGACCTTATTATTTTGGGTTTTTTGGCATTTTAATGTGTGCAAACAATAAAATCATTCTGACAACGAAAGCGTTAAACACCATTCTAATGTGCAGCAAAGGGGTTAAACGCCATTCTTATGTGAACTGGGTACAAGGCTCCCAGTTCATGTTTGTGCATAACAGATTGAATAAATGGTATCATAATACTCAAAAGAGTTGTATAGCACTTACTTCTCTGAATAATCGGCTTCGCCATCGCTTTACCCCTTCCAAAACACTACTGGCTCACCTTTTTTCACCTTAATCTGCATCTCCTGTTCCTCCATGGCTTGAATTTAATCAGTGTACCGCCTCTATACGTCCGGGTTACCATGGGTCCGTCACTAGCAGCTGTCCGGGTGCAGTGGGATGGAAGGTTCCGCCTGTACAGCAGTGCACGGCGATGCTGTGGTGTTTACACGTCGTGTGTATATCAGTCTGCACTGCTAGCCTGGGCTGCTTAGCGCTTCAATCGCACGATGACCCAGGCAAAAAGGCTGCACTACAACTCCCAGCATGAAGAGCTATACACAAAGATCTAATGATAAACAAAGATACCCCATGCAAGACAGAGAGAGAATCAGCCAATCGGAAGACGTCTGGGCGTTGTCCAATCGGGAAGCCCCTGACACCCATCCTTCAGGAAGTGTAGGCTTGCAGCTGTGAAGAGGTGCGTGATGCGAATTTAACTCGTTCAGTGCTGAAGAAGTAGAGGGGACACAGCAGAGGACTGTGGCAGGCCATTGCACGGGTGGGTAACTCCACGTGACTCTGTTCTACAAGGGAGGATGTGAGGAGCAGAGTAAGCCTCTGTGGACTGCCATTGACATGCAAAGAGCTGGGGAGCAGACTATAGGGTAGCAGCTCCAAACTTTACTGCAGTAATGAACCACGTATTCTTACCGGAATATTAACTTCCTAGGTTGTAAGCATTGTTTACTGGCACACCGTGCAGGACTGGTGTTAGAATTTTGATTATTTACCCCCCCCCCGCT